GCTCAGTTAATAGCGCACATGTAATTTATTCAAAGCCGAGAGAAAAAGTACAATTAATTTGGTCGGTCTCACAAGTTGATTATGAATATAGACAATGGATGTCAAATATCTTATAAATTCATGCGTATTCTCTATCTTTTTTTGAGGTGTGAATGCTTGTCATTTACAATGGTATCGGAAATATGGTCCAGTGTTTGTTTATTGGATCTTTCATGTGCCCATTGTAGTCATTGTTGACCCAGACATGGCGAAGAAGGCCTTAATCACATTGAATTTACCAAAGGCTAGTCGTATTTATTTCAAAATTGCAAGTGTGTTTGGGCAGCGTACCTTGGGTCGTGGAGTCTTGACGGAGATTAATCATGAAACCTGGCATCACAAACGAGTCATGCTGAACCCAGCATTTCATAGAAAGTATCTCATGAATCTGATGGAATCCTTCAATTCAGTAGCAGAGGAATTTTTAGGGAAACTCCGGGAAAAAGCTGATGGGAAGACACCAGTGAGAATGGCAGATGAATTTGCGAAAGTTACCCTGGATATTATCGGGAAGGTAGTAGTCCAGTAGTGATAAAATGTGGCCTATGAGAAATTTTGGATCATGTTCACCATAGGTAGTGTCAACTGATATGTAGGCAGATATATCGACAGACTATCAACCAACATTTTGGTTGACATGTGGACATATCAACTGATATATTGGTTGAAAGTTGGGGGATTTCTCAGTCGATAGTTAGTCGACAGACAGACTGTCCATCAAGGCTCGATCAATATGTGTACGTCAACCGACAGGCGGTCGATATGTGGCTGGTCATTTGTTGTCAAATGTAGGTAATCTGTCAGTCAAGTGCCCAGGTATCAGCGGTCGGGTATTGGTTGATAGTCCATCACCACCTACTCCCAGTCTATACTCGTGTACAGAACATAAAAATGCTTGTTACCTAGACTTAAATATTAACTTCTCTTAGTGACTACCCAACTATGCAATATTTCCTGCTCCTCTGCAGCACAATCCATGTCAACCATAATATGTAACTGAACAAACGAAAGACAACATCTCAGTTTATAGTGTTTTTGTAAGTCTATGATTTTCAGGTGAGATCTTGGCAGTGGAAGGCATACTGGAGAGGTACTTTCTTCTCCACATTCGTGTACCTTTGACTCCCATCTCTTGCTTGCCATGGCAATCTTGAAACAGGTTCTTTAGTTGGTGAATGTTCCTTTCATTCTGATACATATGGGTTACTAAACAAGCGTGAGGTAAAGATGGCTGGAAATTGGCCAAGTTCTTTTTTCTGCATTTTTTTGGACTGAGATGAAGTAGAGGGCCATTAAAATGCAAAAAAAGAACGAGGCTAATATCTAGCCATCTTGACCGAACAAGCTTGGTTAATAAAGGATTTATTACATTGCAAAAAGATTTTGCTTTGATAAGAATCAAGAGTGACTTGTTTACTTTGAGAGCAAGGAAAGAAAGCCAACTGTGTTTGTAGCAAAACAAACTTGCCAGAGTCATTTCAGTTTTCTTTGTTTTGACTATCTTCTGCCACTTTTTGCATTTCCATCGCCAAAATTGTTCCAAGAATTACCAATATAGTTCTAATTCAATTTTTTCATGCACATGATCAATGCAGGCAGTCCTGAGCAGGCAAGGTGGGCCCATTTTTCCTGCTCAGGTAGCCAATCAGAACACAGGATTTGCTTCATCTTGCCCACGGGCGCTGCGAGCGATGTAATAAATGACCTTAATGTTCATTTATATACTGAAAGCAGAAATAAGATGCTAGTCACTTTGAACCCTTGACCCTTAAAGAGTGTCTAGCATCTAATTTCTCGTAACAATATCACCTCGGAATTCTGCATCAAGGTTATGAGAAAAAAGGACATGATCACCAACTAAAGAAGCTCTTGATTTTTAAACAAATTCTCCTTGTCAGCACATTAGGAAATGTTTAGAGAGTGGTATGGAGAATATGCATACTGATGTTGGGGTGTCAAGGGTTAACAGGTTCACAAAACTGTAGCAATGTTTAAGTCAATTTTCTCATTTTAGGTTGGCTTTGGTATCAGCCTTGGCACTATAGCTAATCCTAACTCCGAATTTCCACGTGCAGTGTTCAAAGCATTAAAAGGAGTCGAGTCGAGCTTCCGAAATCCATTCTGGAGGCTGCAGTTTTCCAATTTTCCATTTCAAAATTCTGTTATTAAGGATATTAAATACTTACGAAGCTTTGCCACCAAAGTTATTGAAGAACGTTGCTCAGCGCTGAGGAACGGAGAGGACACGCCCAAAGATGTCTTGGAACACATACTTAGAGAAGCAATGGAAAATCCTGATCTAGATATGGATGATTTAGTGGATAATTTCCTGACAATTTTTCTTGCAGGTATGGCAAACTTTTTTTTCAAAAAAAGTGCTAAAATTAAGACCAGTTGGAAATGTGATGCACTTGAATTAAGGCAACCAGACTTTTGTACTCATGAAGGGGTGTGTAGTATGTGTTCATGGTACATAGCTGTATTGTATGCTAGCTTGGAAGGCACATTGACTTCTGCAAGATTTTTTCTTCTGCAATGTTTTTGATTCCTTCAAGTTGTTATTTCTTCTTTTCTTCAATGCGTGACTTATTTTGGTAGAAGGCAATGGTGGTAACAAACACAGCTAAAAATCATAATAAAAAAGGTGGGTTGCAATTAGGGTGTAGACTTTAAAAAGTCATCAGATGAAAAAGTGAAATCAAAGGTGGAAAAAAAGGAGGGAAAGTGAAAAAAAAAATGCAAAATTAAGAGAAGTTGTGGAAACAAAAGAAGTTGTGGAAGACAAAAAATAACTGCAAAAGAAAAAGAAGTGTCATGAAAGAAGAAAAAGAAGGCTTGGAAGGAGGAAAAGAGGGTGATGTCATTCCAGGCCACTGTGGTATTGGTCATCAAAATATATCTTGCTCCCTCTCTTTCTTTTCTTCTCTAATCACTCTGGGCCAGCTTGTACAAAGCTGGGCCAAGATAACCCAGGGTTAGTGTGAATTTTTATTTTATATATGAAAGCTTTAAAAGAAAATTCAATAGAAATCTTTTTTCCTCAATTTGATTGTTGGATACTCTAGAAAGAATAGAGAAAATTATCCCAAAAAAGACTTAATTAAAAACAAAGGAATAAAGAAACCTGTGTGAAAATTTAACCCTGGGTTAGTGCTTATTGGCCTTTGAACAACTAGGCCCTGAGAAATATCTGATATAATATTAATCTACCTTTTTCTATAAATAGGACAAGAGACAACTTCCAATCAGCTGTCATTTACTTTATATGAGATTTTGGAACAGCCTGAGATTGAACAACGGTGAGTGCATGTGTAGAAAACGGCTAGTTTTGAATTGTTACGTTGAAATGTTTTTTTTTTAAATTAACATTTATTTGATAACTTCTTTTTTTTAAATAAAACTTTTTTGTTTTTGTTTTTTTTATATAAACAAACAATGTTTTGACTTTTAACTTCTGTGTGTATTCATCAACTGAAAATGATAGTAAAGATAAAAAATGTAGTTTTATTTTATGCTGTTTTTGTCTAGGATTTTAAAGGAGTTGGAAGGGATCATTGGGAGCCGCAATGACGTAGAGTATGAAGACCTGGGTAAACTTGAATACCTTGGCCAGGTTCTGAAAGAAGGTTTGAGACTCCACCCTCCAATTGGGGGTGTCCAGCGAATGCTACTAAAGGATGATTCTTTTGGGGGCTACAAACTCCCTGCAAAAACCTCTGTGACTGTGAGTTTTATTTTACTCCAAAAGTCTCCCAAATTTTGGGAAAACCCTGATGTATTTGACCCAGACAGATTTTCTCCTTTGCTTAAAGAGAATATTTCACAATCCATTTATTTACCATTCTCTCTTGGACCAAGGTCATGCATAGGAAAAACATTAGCTCAGTTTGAGGCTAAAGTCTTGATGGCACGAGTGCTACGTGAGTTTAAGTTCGAACTGCTGCCTGGGCAAACTGCCGCAGAAGAAGAAAATGTAACTCTTAGGCCTAGAGATGGAGTCCTATGTACTCTAACAACCAGGAAGTAATTGGTAATTAAAAAATAATTACAGCAGTACTTCAGAATGAACTTTTTCAATTTAGATAGTAGAAAGAAATTATGGAAAGGGCTCTTGCTCTTTATGACTGCCAAAATTCACACTGAATCAGTGAACACAATTTATTGAAAACCTTCTGGTTAGTAATTGAGGTTTAAATTCTATTTACAAAAATATCCCCTTTTTTCAAATACCAGTAGTAGTAGTAGTAGTAATAATAACAATAATAATGTACATTTATTTTTTACTCCATGCATGGCTCACAGGTTACGGTTTTTGCCCTGTGTTGCTTGATTAGAGTGTAGCATTCAGTTTAATTCTCTGGGATAACAATAATAATATTAATAATCAGTGTCTGATTTCGACAGACAGTTTCTTATTTTCACTATATTATTTAAAGGAAAAAACAATGATTTGCATTATGTATGGGACGTGCTTCTCAAGGCAGATGTTCTGATCAAAGATAGCACCAATATTTCATGCAGAAAAAGAGGGCTTGACTCGATCTGTGTTTACTTTGATGTGGTCAGTCATTGGTTGAGGAAGGTGTTGTGCATTCAGTATAAGAAATTCTGCCTAGTCTCGGTTTACACTATGAACTAAAGTTCTATGAAAATTCCATCAATTAAGCTTATTTTGAACCATCCATGTACTAAAGTGTACTACATTTGACTTATCTCTTTCAACAATTTGTATTTATTATAAACTTTGATAGGTTCAAAGATACAAGGTAGTAAGAAAGAAGGTAGTAAAGTTAACATAATGATTGTTATTTTGAATTTGTGATTATTAGCCCTCTTTGTCTTGTGGCTAGCAAAAAATTATTTGAACCCTTTACCCTCTGACATCAGTATGCATATTCTCCATACTGTTCTCTATACATTTCCTAAGGTGCTGACAAGAAGAATTTAGTTAACAATCCAGAGCTTATTCAGTTGGTGATCATTTTCTTAACTCTGGTGACCTTAATTATTGATTTAGGGGTGATATTGATTCAGGTGTTAGTTGCTCTTGGGGTTAAAGAATAAAATATTTCTGAAAATGTGGTTGATGTAACTTAGGTTGGTAAAGTCTGTAACTGAGCCAAGTGGCCCATCCACCCCAAGCCTATCCCAGTTTCCCTAGCATGAAGCAACTAGGAGTATTACTACTCCCCCCTGGATGGGATGCTAGTCCATGGCAAGATTATCCCCCTGCATTTCATCAGCGAGGCTTCCCTGACAATTCACTGGTACCTGCTGACAGTGTAGAGAGGCTCTGACAGTAAAGTGTTTTACCCAAGAGTGCAACACTATACCAATACCAAATATTCGATACCGGTGATACCAAAGTCAGATTGGAAAATGTCGATACTACTGAAAAATATTTAGTGCTTTTGATACTGCACGTGACCTGCCTCTGCTTTGTCTCATGCCTTGGGACCAACTGCTGACAAGGAGCCTAAAAGACTCTGGACTATAGATTGGGCAGTGACCGACCACCATAGTGTACCAGTCTTGGTGGCCTGTGAGTGCTACAAGGGTCAACTCTTTGATGACCATGAGTTTTGACTTAAGTACATCCTTAATCCAACTTTAAATTTTTGACTGTCTTATTGACTCTTCTTTAGAGTACTGAACACTGCAGAACTTAAACAGTAGAAGATAACCCTATATTTTGTCAATCAAATCACATGACTTACCGGTACCATTTAACTCAATGACGTTACAGTAGCGATATCAAAGAAAAATGTCAGTATTGTACTCAGTACAGTATCCATTTGGAAAAACAGTGTCTGCCTATCTTTAACAATTACCCAGCTAGATCTTGGTGGAGGCACGGTGGCCTCATGGTTAGTGCGCTTGACTCTGGGTTCAAGCCCCGGCTTGGACATTGTGTTGTGTTCTTTGGCAAGACACTTTACTCTCACAGTGCCTCTCTTCACCCGGGTGTATAAATGGGTACCGGCAGTTTAATGCTGGGGGTAACCCTGCGATGGACTGGCATCCCATCCATGGTGGAGTAGAAATACTTCTAGTCGCTTCATGCTACAGAAACCGGAGTTAAGCACCGGCCTAATGGGCCACTAGGCTCGTAAATAGACTTTACTGACTATATCTTGGAACCCAGACCTTTCTCCCTGGAATCCAATGCCCTAAGATCACACTTTCTCCCAAGTACAAAATTCTGCCTCCATGTTCTTTAGTCCTCCTTGCCTTGTTTCAAGGTACAAATTATTTTGAATTCTGAATTTACGATACAGGCATAAAAGGGCTATTTATAAGGGATGCCTGTGGTAGACCTTGTTAAAAATTTGCTGTTATAGTGTCCTGGTCAGAAAAGGTAATTAGCCACATGTTTCTGCTTCCAACTGACATTAAGCCCTGCTGACTGGGATGAATCCTTGATGGTTGACCACACGAAATATCCTGTATTACTACACGACTTGGGCAGTCAGAGGGCCAATTACTAAAATCAACCAATCAAAATGCTCTATTGCCGGTCAATATTCTCTCAGTATTGGACCAGACACTGTTCCGAATGGTCCCAAATGATACCGCACTTGTGTCCCTTTGAACTTTAGTTGTATAATAAATCTCTTATTAACCAAGCTTGCTCGGGACCATACTGGAAGAATATCGGCCCTGGGTCTTTTTTGTACCGACCTCGCTGCGCTTGGTCCATACTGTCAAAACCTTGGGCCGATATTCTCCCAGTACGGCCCTCGCGCTTGGTTAATAGGATGTATTTATTGACATTTTTTTTTTCTTGTCTTCATTTTGGAATTCATTCCTGTACTAAGAAAAGTTTGTGTCATGGAACAAAAGAAGGTCTGCCTTGGAAGCTAGTGCTGAGTCAATATTAAATTTATTATTTTCCGCCTGTAACCGGTGACTGTACTGACCATTGCATCCCATGTTACCAGGGCTCAACACTAACTTTTCAACTTACTAGCCAAGTGGCTTGTGACAACTTAGATGTTACAACAATTTCAGTTAACTTTGTTTACCAGCCAAACTGGTTAGTGAAAATCGAAAACCACTAGCCAAAACTGAATTTCTACTAGACTGTGGCTAGTTGGCTACCATTAGTGTCATTAGGTTATATGTTACCATTAGGTTATATGTCCAGGCTTCTTACCATAAACAAAACAAAATTCTTAATTTGTCACCATGTTGGAAATAAGTTGATAATTTACTTTGTTACTGAATACATGACCAAACTTTAAACACAAGCATTAATTTAAAAAAAATCAACCTCTACTTTTTAATTACCTGATAATGTTTTTCAGTTAGACGCAACACCTCATTCCATAATGGAATAAACTAAAAGCTATCTGTTAATCTCCATTGCATTTGACCCTCTTAACCTCATTTTAACCCCTTTGCCCCCTTATCAAAGCTTCTAAAGTTGGTGATTGTTTACTTTTTTCTTATGATACTCATGAATGATTCAGCCATGCTACTGTAAGGAGAAATTCGATGCTGGTCACAGCTAGGGTTTTAAGGATTGTGCCAAGTTTTGTTTTTGAAATTGAGAGCTACAATTCAGGAAAAGAAGGTTAGGTATCCTATTGAAGCCAGAATTATGATAGATTTGTAACAATTTTGGAATTAGGTCTCTAACTGTTGAACTCCTAAAAAGCAAAAATGTCAGTTCTCTGCTCTGTCTGTGTAACAAATCGATGGTGGCTTAGCTTGGTCTTTACTCTTTTTAACTATGATAATTATTTGTCATCAGAGGTCAAAATATTGTGGACTCACAACCGAGAAGACACAGCAAAGTCGGGAACAAATTTTAACCACAGTGATGGCAAATACATTTGCAATTAGAGTACAGACTATGCTATACCACTGTTGATTTGTTTGATTGTTCTTTTTTTTCTTACCACAATATTGACATGAATGGTTGCATGACACATTGACACAAGCATTGTCTGTACTCTTATCAACAGTGGTAAATTGACCAATCAGATTGCAACATTACTGCCAATCATGGTACAGTATACATTTCCTAGTGGCTGTAGTTTTACCGTCGAGAATTTGGTGTTAAAGCAAATAATTTCTCCCAATTGATCTTTTCCTTTTTTCTCTAATCTTTCAGCTTGAAATAGTGGTTTTGCTAGGAGAAAATTCTATTTGACCATTTCTAGAGTGAAAGGGATTAACCACGTATCATCTAAGAAGGTGATTGCCACAGAATTAACTATTTCTTTAAAATACAACATTTCAAGTTCAAACTGAGGTGTCTATTAAGCTAACCTTGTTTCTTTTCTAAAATTACAACCAGTAGTCTAAACAAAACTGCAACTGTTAGGGATAAAACTATTTTTTTATAGAAACTATCATTATTTTGCTCTGTTCATTATAATTCTAAAAAGCATAAAACTAATCCCTTTGCAGGCTTAGAAATATTTTGATTTCACTTTTAATGGAACTTCAACCAGCTAACTCCCAGAAGTAATTCCCGTGTAACTTTTCCCTTTAATATCTGGACATTATCCCACAAACAGATAATGAGAATACCAAAACTCATCAGGTAGAAATTGTTATCTTGATCTAACATCAAGTTCTTGTAAATAATTAAAAAGGAAATTAAAGTGTATTAGCTAGAGGGGAGAATTAACAATCAGATCTTGGAAGTTAAAGGACTATTTGTTGCAATCTATCGCCTATTGTTAGTTACTGTGTATGTGATAAGATAAGCTGGATATGCCATATCAAGTTTATAGAGAATGTATACTGTGCAGTTATTAGCGACCCCATTGATGCTGTCATAGCGAATATTAGACCCCTTCTTCAGTGGAGGCATTTTGAGATTGTGGTCTGGGGGTAATGATATACTATCTCCAGTGAGGACATGGGCAAGGAATAGCTGAAAATGTTGTGTTTGAGCATCATGATACACAAATCCATGATGGCTATACGAAGCTTCAGAGGCAAAATAAGCACCACGACCCCACATGCCATCAGCAGAGTAGCGCATATCAAACCCATCTTCACCTCTCCAGATGGCCTAAGGGCTTGTTTGTCTGGTTCCATGGAACAGTTCTTTTTCATTGATGGATGCCACTCCTGATTAAAGGGAACACGTGACAGGTTATTGTCAAAATTGCATAAAGAAAAGGTTACCAACAGGGAAAGTGAAACTTTAAAATCTTAAATATATCCTTGCTTATCCATCACAAACACTTACCATTTTTCTCCTTCAACAAATGACGCTGTATTGCATATTTCCTGTAGAGCCACTTGTTCTGAACCCGCTGTACGTTGACCACAACTGCCTTTTTTATACTCCTCTTCAAACTCCCTAGAACATGATCCCACTCAGCTGAACCGGGACGTACTCTTACTAATTCTGCACCTTTGCTCTGTTGCTGCCAATCATTTGGGACTGTAAGGGCTTCTTGTGGTATTAAACATTTGCCACTAGAGATAACCGAAAAAAAAAAAAAAACTTAATTTGTCTTGCAGGGTTTTCAAATTCAGCTGGTGCCCGATGCAAGTCACCAGCTACTTCAAGCATTTTTGCCACTTAATTTGTCTTCCAGCACCCCACCCCACAAGGCCGCTCTTATTGAATTGAGATAGTGCTCGGGCCCCTTTATAATTTCTTCCTGCGACTTTTTTTTCAATTTGAAAACCCTAATCTTATGGTCATACTTTTAACTGATGAATTATTGAATTATAAGAATTATTGAATTATTAGAATTATTGAATTATTAGAATTATTGAATTAGACATTTAAGAATAAACACTAGCGAGAAAAACACACAACGTTTCGATGACTCCATGTCATCATTCTCAAGTGAGAAGAGAATAAAAATGAATAGTTAATTTATACCGTACGAAGGTGGCAAACGTAAAAAGTTTAAAATATTTAAAATATTTAAATAAATAATTGCGCGTGTTAAGTTCATAAATGTAAA